GTTGAATTCTTTATGTGGGTGAGAAATGCAAATAGTTTCAGCAATATTCACAGAACCTCTTCATTCAAACTGTCAGTTTTGTGGCTCTTGTTTCTTGTTCCATTGGTTTTAGTGGGAATTATGAAGCTATGATAATGAATGTGTATCTGTAGCTTGCAGCAAACTATCCAGAGAAAAATTGTGACATGCAGAAGCTGCTGTTCTATTTTTTACTTTGAGATTATGCTGGTGCATTTTTTTTCCCCTCTTGTATTATACCCCCTCTTTCTGTGACTCAAAGAACTGATTATAGAGTAAATGTAGGGTTTTTTCATGGTGGTCTCCAAACACTCACATATTATCCTGCAGTAGTTTAGGTACAATGAAGATGGATTCGTAGAAGCCTAGAAATGGTGTCCAAATACAAGCATTTTCTCATTCTTTGCACTGAAATTTGTGGTCGTGGAACTTTTCTGAGAAAATAGACATGAATTGAAATAGGAGAGTTTCTAACTTGATGCATGTAGATTTTTTTTCATAATTGTAACAGTCAAATATGGAAGCGAGAGGTTGTGTAGTCTTCATCTCTGAAGATTTTCAAGATACTTCTGGATAAATCCCTGTTTATCTGGGCCAGGGAACAGCAGTTTAATTTTTATAGTGAATTGTGGCAGTCATAGGTACATAGATTGTGAAAATCCCTTTCTCTACTTTTGCTTTGTGAGTCCTGCCAGCAAGTAGCAAGGCTATCCATTGCAGGCAAGTATATAGGTATTTTAGCAAAGATATTGACTTACCTGAAGTTAATAGAAGCTGCAGAGACTCTTTTAGCATTTGGGACCAGAGGAACAACAAATCCCCATTGATCAATGTATGGCCAGCTTCTACTATCTCTCCTACTGTCCTGTCTCCAACAGTGGGAAAAAAAATCAATATCTATAGGTAAAGAAGAAAGGAGTAAGCATATTGGATACTTTGCTAGTTTCCAGTTATTTTCAGCTTGGATTGTTTCCTGAAATAGTTATGGTTTCTAAGCATGAGTGTTTGTGTAGCTAATACCTACTGCTGGAATCTCCTTCAGAGTTTAAATAATTATTTGAAGTTATGTTAAAGACTGAAAGCAATAACTGTCATTTTTAAAATCCTCGGCACTGGCAGGTGATTCTTTGTTTAGCCTTAATTATAAACATCATCTTCTCTGGGAGTCAGTCTTGAAGAATCACTGCTGTTTTCATTAATTCCTGTCTAGTTGAAAACTAGTCTCATTTGAAAATACTCTTCTTGCTGCAAGATGACACATACCAGTGTGTTCTTACACCTGTTGGAAGCACCAGTGAATACTGCAGCAAGATAAGTCATGACTAGTTTATTGAAGTTCTGTGCAGCATGGGAAATCTTCACTGGGTGTATCCCATGTAAAGTCAGCCTGATAGTACTGATAATATTCATTAGAAGCTTCAGAGGCTCTAGAAAATAATGCTGTTTTGAAAACATCATTCACTCTTCTCCTCTTTTCCTCCCTCTCCAAATTTAGGACTTCTTTTTTAATTTTGGAACTTTTGTCCATTAATAACTAATGTGAACATGAGCTAATCTAGTGAGGATAGTCATCTTTCATATAGATGTGTGGTAGTTCAAATGTAGCAGACTCAGATACAGTCTGTTTAAATGTCTGTTAAAAGTGTTCTTAAGCAAACAGCCATTTGGTTAAATGTGTTTGATGTTTTACAAGTAGCACTGTACTAACATGATTTGGTTATTAATGTTTTTTTTTAAAATCCTAATTATAAATGTGGGGTAGAAAAGTGGGTAAATGGTAAGTGGGAAACCTCTTCTGTATTTAAAATAGCTTCTTAATTTTGTAAAAAGAAGTTCTGAAGGAAAACCAGCTATTTGGATTAAGTAATGGCTCATTTTGAGGCCATTGGGCATAGAGGATTCTGTTATTAAGAATAAAAACAGTGTTAGTATGTTGAGCAAGAGTGACTTTTCTAAGAAACAATTCTGAAATTGTCTGAAATTGTAAAGGATGCTGATGACAATTTGGATGGTTATTCTGTGGATATAATTCTATGTCTTTCATTTTAAAGCATTTACTATGGACATTTGTTTAGTGAAGGACTCTCTTACAGTTAGCATAATGATGCTGGAGAAACCTTTTTCAGCTTGAATATATAAGTTGGAAATCACCAGTGATTTGCAAACTTAGATGAGAACTAGAGTTATTATTTTGAATATGTTAGCTGCAAGAATTAAATTCTGCCACTTCTAGTAGCTGTGGCTAATAGCATCAGTATGCTGCTTAGTGCCAGTAAGCTCAGCCCTTGGAGCAATGGAAATTAAAATCTTTATAATCTCTTAGGGGCTCCTCCTTTCTGTATTCTGTTTTGAATGCATTTTATGATGTAGACATCTGTTTGCTAAAAATTTAATTAGTACTGCTGTCTGGTTTCAGCCAATTGAGTTATCTTAAGCTAAAAGTTAAAGGATGAGTGCTGCCTTTATAAATTAAAAAAAAAATAAAAATAAAAGTTGTATTAAATTCTCAATGTTTGTGACTAAGACTGGTTCCACATATTCTTTCTGGTCCTGACCAGACAGTGACAGTTTATACACAGTTGTCATCTGAATTAGGCAAACCATATGTACTCCCACCACTCTCCTGTTTGTGGGTGGCACTGTACAGGAACAAGAACTGGGTACCTTCTCTGCTTGGCATCCTTCACCAGTGTGGATCCAAAACATGCAACTCGACTGCAGAACTGTTTTGCTAGTCAACAACTACTGTACCCCACCCACATTTCTAACTAGCAGATGGTGAGGCAAGTCTGAACATGGTGACGGGTTTTACTATATCCCTTGAAAAGTAAATAAATAATATTTGAAAATCCTATTTGAAAATCTAAATTACAGAACTAATTAGCCACAAAAGCATAGCATCATATAAGTATGGGATTTTATATTCTCTGTAAAACTTTCATGGTCACATTAAATAAATATTACTTCAGTAATTTAAAGTATTTCTTAAGCATGAGATAGTATTTTTAAAGGTATTGGTCATCCTAATGTTCTCAGTATCAGAGATTTCTGACTAGGATATTTGTTCTGGAAGAAAAGATCAAATACTATTCTGCTATAAGTCCTTTTGATTGAAAAAAAGAGGGATTAGATAAGCATTTAGAACAAGAAATCTTTCAGCATGAATAAACAGAACAAATGACTTCATTAACTTTCAGCTACTGTGCATTTGTGTGAAACCACGCTAAAACTATAACCCTGTCAGCACTGTATTTTTTCTATAATTTCTAAATCACAGTATGATATTTCCAAGGCACCAGCTGGTGGGCTGCTGTTTGCTCTGGATATCAGGCAAGATTTTTCCCCACTCTTCAGGAACAAGATTCTGTGGGCCAGGTCATGGTTGCCTCTGTTTCTCTCTCAGTTGTATTCAGCTTTCTCTTTCTGTGGCTGCTATAAAGCTTTTTGCATAGTTACATAAATTGGGATTGAAAAATTTCAGTTTGGTATTTTAATATAATCTAGTAATTTAAAAATAATACATTTTAACTTGATCTCTCTGTGCATGGAAATTATCCCTAGAACTAAAGACTAAAATTCAGTTCAGACTTTTTTTTTTTCTGACTGGGAGCATGGCATGCTTAGAACTTTACTAAGATAGGGGCTTTGCCTTATTGAGCTCACCATCTATATGATAAGTTGCAGTACTAATGTTTACTCTAATAGACACTTTTAATATACAAAAAGGAAACTTCCACAAAGACATCTAATGAATTAGTGTCACACACAGTGTGATTACAGAAATACTATTATGTCCTAGCACAATATTCAATATTCACTCTGTAGTTATGCAACAGCAGCAAGATTCAAAGAAAATTGCTTATTAGGTTTGACCCAAGAACCTGTATCTTGCTTGAACAATTTTACTAGAAGAGTTTGACCTGTCAGTCTCTCTCACTTCCCTGCACTGTGAACTCTGCTCTGACTTTCTATTCTGTTATGTTCATGTAATTTATCTTATCTTTCATCATATATCATCCCATGTATTTTAAAAATCTGTGTTTTGTACATAGCAGCAGGATATCCTCTAGCATCACTAATTGAATTTCAGTATCTCTGAGCACCACAACAAGGCATTTTACCAAAGATATCAGTACTATAATTATGAAGATTTAGTGGTTCCAAATTCTAAGGTGAAAGAAAAAGATAAACAAGTTGGTTTTCAGGTTGATTTTACAGATTAAAGAAGTCAAGTATTTTTCTATATCTCTGAATGAAAACACCCAAGCACATTCTGTGATATGATCTTTACTTACTGCTAAGACTTGAACTCCAACGTCAGAATGCACCTACAAATGTAAGTTGTTATCATCCAGGTTCATGAAAAGCACCGAGGAAATTAAACTTAAAGGAAGTAAATTCTGTTTTATACTGCATCAAAACTGAAGTTACTGTCTTCTTCCATTTTCTTGAATTGTATCTTTACAAATTTTTTGTATTGTCATTTGGCTGCCTGCTGAGTGTCCATGATGATACAATGAGTCAAGTTCATTTTCCTACATTAATAGCAAAACGATATCGATTATCATTCTAAATGCAGGAGTTGTATTCAAAATGTCTGAATTATAAGATGAGATGCTATACTTATCTGTTCTCTAGTCTGTTTCATTGAAATATCCCCATTGTAAACTAGTTCTAAATGCTGTAGTTCATTTGTGTCCAGTAAGTAGAAAGACTATGTGAGTGGAAAGGACAAGTGAATAAAATATAAATCCCTAGTGTTGTGAGAAGAAGTGCAGAAGTTGAAAATCTATTCATTGCACTTCCCCTTAAAGAATTTGGCTGGTAAATGACACATATTCAACTTTTTGAATGTAATTGTGTGTGTAATTATGTTGTAGTGAGTAACTAAATATAGGGTGTGTTGTTTATTTTTTAGAAAATAAGCCTACTTCTATGTGAATTAAAAAAAACACTTCTGGCTTGCATTTCTTTCTCCCTAGTCCTGAAGTTGTGAAGGGTGACCTGGATGGAGAGAAAGCTGATGTCTGGGCTGCAGGATGCATCTTTTATCAGATGGCCACTCTGAAACCAGCATTTTACAGCACCAATATGCTCTCCTTGGCAACTAAGGTATTCACATTTGCCAGATAAACCTCCCATTTATTCTGCATATGTTCTCATGATCCAAGAGAATTTATATTTAAGTTTATTTACACATAAACAGCTCTCAGCTCTAATGTGTGTGGCTTGTGAACGAGCACAAGTGTTTATCATTTCATGAATTCTGTCTTACCATTCTAATTGCAAAGATTTCTTGTAAATGTTCAATATTGTAGCACTTTAATCTACAGTAAGAATGTACTGGATACCTGACTGGAAGAGAGAGTTTGCATCTAAGTTGTTCTGCACATTAGATCTGACAATGTAATGCTCATCAGATAGTTTCAAGGGACAATACTTACCATATTGGATCCTCAAATAAATAGTGGAGTATTTTTCAACAAACTGTAGATTTTTTCTTTTCAGATAGTAAGGGGCTGTGTATGAACCTGTGCCAGGAGGACTGTACTCTGAAAAAGTCTCGTTTACCATTAGGGGGTAATTACTCATTTTATTTCGACATCCTGCTGAAAAGATGTTTTTGTTTTGTATGCTTCCAGCAGAGATGATGTGACAGTTTGCAGACTTTAGCAACTGCCAATATTTGTCTCTGAATATGAAATATCGTTGGATTTAAAGAAAAACAGCACCAATAATAACATATACAATATATCTGCACACATGCAACTGGAAAACTCATACCAGTATAGTCAGGGCATTAATTTAGCCAGTATAGGCTTTATATTCAATACAGAAATTTACATTTAACAATATCAGTGCTGTATTTAATTCCCTACACATAATTTTTTTTCTCCATAAAAATCCAGCATTTTGAGCAGTTTTCAAATGCAGCTTGTGATCAAGTAAATAACCCTATTACAATAATGATTTATAGATGACTGTATGATCATGTTCATAGTTTTTCTATTTATTTGACTGATGGAAATATATTTTTAACCACCTTGTAGTGAATTCTGTTAGCACAGCAGCAGAGGTAAGAAAGTAATGGAGGAAAAGATGAGCCTGTATTTGCTACACTCACTCATCACAAATTTCTCAGCTATGTTTATATCTTCCCGGAGATAATGTAATGTGTAAGGCAAAGTATTGAGTGAATTAGAGATTTAGTTAGCTCCCTTGATTTTTCCATTTTAGAAACAAAAGCAAACCACTTAGCACAAAAATGCTTATACTTACTCATTCAGATATGCAATTCTGTCTCTAAAAAGCACATTACAAAAAAGGTTTTTGTAAGGTTGTAAGCTAAAGTTTTATGGCATGTTTTAGTGTACAGAAAGGTTTCTGTTACTTAAAGACCTTGTGGATAAAGGACAGCAATGGAGAGTACAGGAGCTAATAGAATCAACATTTATGTTTAAGAGGTTCTGAAATGAATTTTAATGAAAACATTAAAATCTTTAAACAAGAATTTTTCTACATATTTTGCAGTGGGAAGCATAAAGTGATTTTTGTTATTGTTATTTTTTAGGGAGTATTGTTTTACTATTATGTCTTACTATGGGTTAAATCTTAAATGATATGTTATGTTTAGGTTTTTGCTTATGCTTTGTGAGATATTTAGAAAGAAAAGAACATTAAAGAAAAGCAGCAATAATGAGATTTTAGTTATAACATAGATGAGGAAAGATTAACAGAAAAGATGCAGTTGTTTTCAAATGATTAATACACAACACATTTCAGAGATGAATGTTTTAAATAAAATAATTTCTTGCTAATGATTTGAAGAAATATTGAAAGCTTCTTGTTGCTACTGTAAATTTTCATTTAGTGTTATCACTACTATTCTTTAGTATTTTTATTAAAGTACAGCTTTATTGCTTTAAGCCACTAAAGAAAGTTCTGGAATCACAGCCATCAAATTCCTTCAGAGTTGAACATCAATGTACTTGGGTTTAGTCATAAATAATTTTTAGATGCATGGGAAATGGATATGGGACTTACTAAAAATCTCTCCTAGCTCCCATTGTTCTTGGAACTTTTGCCCAATTTCAGTGAATTAAAATAAAAAATTAAAAGAAAACCCCAACCCATAGTATTTTTAAGGGTAAAAAATTGCACCTCTTTAAAAGAAATGCAAAATTTGAAGTAAAAATATTTTTAAAGTTAAGAAAATTAGTGAAATTAAACAACACATTTAAGCAAGTTTAAACAAAAATGTTAAAATCAAGAAGTTCAAGCCTTGTAAACATTTTCAAAAGGACTACTTTGCATGGCAGTTGTGTTTTACTTAGCAAGAACAGCTTTAGAAATATTAGTTCATTCTATGGCATTTTCTTTGAAGAAGGGTGTCAGGTTATTTGTTTGTGTTAACAGGTCAATAATACTGTGCAAGGAAATTGTAGTAAATTATTAGATTCGTTGGAGTTAACAGATTTAAGACTTTTTAGTACAGGCAGGACTGTCCCTAGCAGCTTTCCTATCTACACTGCATACAAAATATTCTGGGCATTTAGAAATAGACCTAATAATATATTATTACTGTTACTAAACAGCTACCTAGGGTGCCTGAAACAAGAACCATAGACCTGTTAAAGTTCTTTAGATTGGAAGGGACCCCTGGAAGAGTCTTGTCCATCCTGCTTGATGCAGGTACAATTAGATCTGGTTTCTTACTGCTCAGGGTTTTGTCTAAGTCAGTTTTGCATTGAAGGATGGAGATTGCACAACTTCTCTGAGCCCTCTGTGGTGTTGGTCTGCCTTTGTGATTAAAAGTAATAATAATAATAATAATGACAATTTTTTTATATATCCAGACTTCTCTGTGGTTTAAACTTATGTCTTTTGCCTCTTGCTCTAACACTGTGCACTCCTGAGAAGGATCTGGCTATGCCTTACCATGATGCAGGTAGCAATCAGATCTCAGGATAGGTGGTCCAAGTCCCTCTGACAACTGCCCTGCCCATGTATCCCTGCAATTCATTGTTCACAAACCTTTGGAGAATGCATTGTCTCTGACAATCTAGGTCATTAATAAAGACATTAAATAGTACTGACTCAATATCAGTCCGTGGAGGTTGCTACTTCCAGCCACCAGCTGGACTTTGTGATGGCATCTCTTTGAGCCAGGAGGTTCAGCCAATTATCTTCCCACCTTATAGTCCTTTGGATACTGTGGGATATTGGATCAAACAAAATAAGGCTACCCCCAGCATATATTGCTCTTTCCTTGTCCTCAGACAGTAATCTCATCACAGACACCAGTTAGCCTAGTCAGGTATAACAGCTGTTTGGTTAATCCATCCTCACTGTTCCCAGTCACTTTCTTGTAATTTTTGTGCTTGAAAATTACTTGCAGAGGAAATTGCTCTATTATTTTCCCAGAGACTGAGGTGAAGCTGACTGGCTATCAGCTCCCTGAATCTTCCCTCTTGCTTTTCTTAGATATGTGTGTGATATTCAGCTTTTATCAGTTTACAGGAACCTCCTTTTCATCTTTTTAGACATGACAGATAGTGGTATTGACCAGTTGAATGAGCACCCTCAGACCCTTCTCATTTGGTCCCATGGGCTTGTATCCAATTGGCTTAAATGCTTTTTCATTGTATTTTCTGATATATAGAAATACCTTCATGTTTGTAGAGTCTACAGGTAGGCTCAGAGATCTGAAACATGGCCAAAGTTTCTCCATGGAGATGGAAGCAAAAAAGGGACCAAGTATCCCAAACTTTTCCGTGTCGTTTGTTACTAGGTTGCTTAGAGGATCTATCTACATTTTCCATAGTCTTTCTTTTGTTGGCCTTTCCTCTGCCTTCCATATCCATTGCTAGTTTCAACTTTTTCAGCTTCAGCTGAGGTTTTGTTTTCCCAGCTCTACCCTTTGGCCAATACCTGTGTTCTTCCTGTAAAATTTACCCCTGTTTCCCACATGCAGGATTGAGCTGTTCTAGTGCTTTGAGCTGTCCCTGAAGATTAGCTTGCTTTCCCAAGCTTTCTCTTTCCTTCCATGGTAGCCTTCTGTGAGATTCTACCAGGAAGATCCCTGTACATGGTGAATTCTTCTCTCTTGAAGTCCTGTGTTTTAACCTTACTTTCTCACTTCTCTCAGGATTTTGAACTCCACAGTCTGATGGTTGCTGTAAGATCAAGAGGCTGCTGTTGATCTTCACATCCCTGCCTCTTTCTCCTTATCTGAGAGCGACAGGTCAGGAAGAGTGCCTTTCAGCTCCATCAAGAAATTGTCATCAGCAGATTTCAGAAATCTCCTGGTTGCTGCACTCAGCCATATTACCCCATCAGCAGATATCAGGGTTGTTAATTGGCCCCAATGAGTATAAGTGTCTGGAATCATGAAGCTTCCTCCTTCTGTCCAGCAAAAGCATCAATGACTTCCTCTCTGATTTTGTGTGGTTTATAACAGGCATCTACCACAATGTCACATATATTGGTCTGCTCCTCTGATCCTCACTGATAAGCTTTGGACTACACATGGTCAGGTGTTGGACTGCAGCCTGACTTTAGCCTTTTCTCCTCAGTGGCAGAATTTAGAACACCCCCTCTGTCCCCTGGCCTTCACACTTGACCCCAGTGCACTGTGGTAATTTTCAGTGTGTTCAGAGTTGGCCCTAATAATGTAATTTGTGCCCACATGAATAACCCAATGCCCACATGAGCAGCAAGAAGTAATAGCCCAAGGGTCAGGATGAGCCATGGTAGTAACTCCACAATGTCCTGAATCCAACCAACAGCCATCATATTAATCAAATTGATCAATTAATCTCTGTTCCCTCGGCCCCAAATGACTGTCAGCTACTGCATTTATTTGTGATTTGAGCACTTGATGCAGACTTACCTGGCTCTGATGTGTCCTCCATTTGTTCCTTGCTCTCCCTCACCTGTTCCTAGGTTGCTATACCTCTTCTGCAATTATTCCTCTGCAGTCAGGGAAAAAGCCTTCCTTCTCTTGGCAGAAGTCATAAGTCTTCAACCTACCTCCTCTTGGGAGCCTTCATCCTCTGCTTCTTTGGTAGCAAGCTCTAGATATTTCTCTTTGCATTGTTTTGAGAGTGTTGTCTCTGTGAAGATCCTGACATTCTACTGTACATCCTCCTGTCAGGATGCTCCTCTCCTTCACAGCTGCTTTGTCCAGTGGTGCAGTGCCCTGACCAGAGCACAGTCCCCACCAGGCAGGCCCCATCTCCCCCATCCCAGGAGAAAGGTCCCAGGCACTCTGCAGTGTGTCTGGGAGTGCACGGCCACAGCTCCTAGTAGCAGTTCTGTCTGGGTCAGTGTCAAGGATAATTGTTCCAGCTGATGCTGGAGGCTGTGCTGTGGTGTGGCAACACCAAGGCATCAAACATCAAACTGTCCCAGGCAGGATGAGGGAGCAGTGCTGGCTGGAATAACTCCATAAATACCAGGAATTCAATGTTGGAAAAAGTTATTTACAAACAAGCAAATAGAGAATGTTCTTTCTGTAGCTGCTTGACTCCTGTTGCAGAGGCACATCCAGACATAGTGGAGGTCAGCTCACTGCTGTCTGATGTGATAATGAAATACATGGATGTTGTATCTACCTCTCATCTCATGTTGGAGAAGAAACTGGATGGGGAGAGACGACAAACCCAGCGGTGCTTCATGGAGGATGATCGAAATGCAATAACCTATCCCCGTCAGCTTTCCATTTTATCACAAGTAAGTACATGTATTAGGCTTTATTTTTTGTTATCGTTGTTTGCCATATCTGAAAAAATAAGGTGCAGCAAAGCAGGAAATAAATCAAAATGAAAAGACCCGTCCTTCTGTAACATTTTTTCCATGTAGGCTCTTTAATTTATTTTTAACAAAGTATTCATTAATATTTTTTTGGACATTCTTATGCAGGAATAATTACAGTATCTTCAAACCCAATGCCATTCTGTGTTTGAGAATGTCATTGTTATGGAGATTCTTACAGTTTTGATAATATCTGATAAGATTTAATTATTATGGCACACTTGTGAGTGGTTTGTGAATAGGAGAATATACACTTGATTAGGGTAGAACAAATTGATAATCTTGTGTATGATTCATAAACAATGACACCTAGAAAATGGAACCTACAAGAATAAAAATTTTAATTACAGATTACAAAATACAGACCAGTGATGCTGGTAAGGTATTTGCTCGTGTTTTCTAATTCTCCGATACAGCTTTGCATAAATGTTTCTTACAGTTCTTCCATTTGCTTCAGGCTGTGTTTTAAGCATCCTTCATGAAGAAGATCGGTAGTTTACACACTATATATGATCTTAGAGAATTTATTTTAAAAATACAAGGACAACAAATGCAACAAAACAAATATTTTTGTGTAGCAAAATTGCCCTTTGAAAATTGTTATGATAATTGCAATATAAAGTTATAATTTACACTGCCACTTTTGTCTGTTCAGATATTGCATCTCTTAGATTCCTTATATCAGAGTTCAGTAGCTTGTAGGAAGAACCTCTGTATAGGAAATAGGTTTTCTAGAACACCTGGTCCCAAACATCCTAGGGTCTTCACCTTCCAAAAATAAGTAACTTGTATCAATAGTCAATATTTTTTCAGGAGTTTTTTGACCTATCAGTCTAAGATCATTATTTATATTACACCATTTTTTTCAATAAAAAGAATGTCAAAACCTACCAGCAAACTGTAACAAACCACTGACTTTTAAAATGTAAGAGATATTGGGATAAAAGAAAGATACAGAATAGGATTTGTTACTGAAAACACTATAAACATTTCCTAATTTTTTTTTTATTTGAGTTTTCTTAACCTACAGATTTGGAAGCTTGTTGTATGCCATTATTTTTTGTATCATGATATAGTCATTCTCTTGCATAACTGTGATGAATTTTGCAAAAAAAAAAAAAAAAAGAAAAAAAAAAGCTATAGATGGAAAGATGCTAGATTTGGGATTTTTGATGCAGTTATTGTGTCTTTGAGAGAAGAATGCCCTACCCGGATATTTGTGATAGCTTTGCACAGAAGTTAGAGTACTTATGTTTGGAAATACTTATGTGTGGAAAATACACCTATCTACAAAACTGCCTGTGTATTTTTTGGTGATAATGGCTAATTTTCTTAAGAAAGAAGCACTTCGGTTCTAGTTCCAATTGGTGTTTTATTATGCATATTAAAAGAACAAGAGATTCGAACAAAGATCCAGAACAGTGAAGAAATGGAGGGGGAATATGGATTAGTAATGAGAAGTGGGAGACCTTATTTTGCAAATTGTTGTAAATAAGAATAAATCAGGCTAGGATCTTTCAGATTTCAGAGGCATGTTACAGGGCTTAGAAGCAGAAGGAGCCATGTTTCTTCTTTCTTCTTGGTATTTAGGAGAACTTTATAAAGTTGAAGGATTTCTAATAAAGAGAATAATTATTCCTGAAAAGTCTGCCTTTTGGAAAAAAAGGCAATGTTCTGACTAAAAGTGCTTGGAAGAATTTCAAGCAGCTGCTCCTGAAATAAAAGCTCTGTGAGATATAGACAGCCTAATTCATCTTAGTCAAGGCCCCAGCGATCCCACACCCAAGTAATTTGTCATTTTTCCATGGTGTCAGAGAATTCAGTGTTTCTGCCATGTAGTTCAATGTTTTGTTGAAGCCAGCTAGTTTCTACTTTGCTTTCTCCACTAAAATGTACTTACGGCCTCCTTTTTCATCCCAGTTGTGTTATACTGTGAATGTTTCTGAAATAAGGACTGTACTCTCTGTCCTTGTATATGGAACTAAAGAACAGAGATCTTTTGGAGCCAGAGTGGAATTTGTTTTATAAGTAGTTTAAAACTAGTTTGGTAGCTGGTAAATAGGCAATTGAAAGGCATGTCAGTAGATGGAAGTATAGTTAGTTACCTTGTGTGGTAAGTATAGCATAAAATCCATGCTTGGAAATAATCCCAGTCGAAAGAATCATCAACAGCTCCCCACACAAACTCTTGTATTTCCTAGTTTTCTATAGAAACTCTTGTTTATGTTAGAACAGAAACAGATGTAGGGCTGGCAGGTGTTTGATAGAGTTTGTGTTCAGTTCTGAAAGGTTAAGGTTGCTGACATAACACATGGTATAGAGGACCCAAACAAGTAAGGGTAATGACAATCATTCTCTCTCATGTTGCACCTTTAATTTCAAGGTGATCAATATTATATTTTTATGCTCTTAGTAGGAAGAGGTGGAGAGGAAAAAGCAAGTTTGTGTAAGGTCACCAAAAAGATTAGTAGCAAATTTGAGTTTTCTGTGTTCCAAGACAAGTGTAAGTTTCTAAACAGTACTTGATCCAACTCATGAATTCTTTCTAATATTTTTTTTAAAGACATGAGTGTATAGCCAAACAGTAATTTGATTGCTTTTTGAAGCATATAGATTTGAAACATGCATTTTGTCTGTTTAGAAAGCAGTGAAAATAAGTCACTTTTATTACTTTGGAAACATGTGTTTCATTACATGGACATCATCCATTATTGTTTCACTTATTGCATATATCCTAAAAGGTTTTCAACTTTTCTCTCATTGCCAAAATTTTTAATGTAAAACATACATATGCCTAAAACAATACAGAATGATGAATATTCAGTTTGAATGTGGTAGAGGAAAGTGTAGGTTTTAGAATTGGAGTCCATCAGCTAAAAATATATGACAAAATATGGTCCATTTGTACCTTCTACTACTGAGAATATATTAAAAATGGGCAGACATAGTAGACTACCTGGATGGTCAGAATGACTTCCTTTTCTCAGTTTCTGTAGTTCTGACCTGTGCATATGGCAGAGATAAATTCTGTCACATTCCTTCTCTATGCCTCTCTGTGTTCTTTGGGAATTTAAGCTTATTTTCATTTTTGTATCAGTAATGTCACTAGAATACACATTTCATTTTTAAATTAATATATGCAAGTCCATGTATTCAGATCAAGTTCCCAGTTATTTAGAGTAATTGGGGGATGATGATGCTTAGATAATGGGAAAAGTAGGTCCAACTTTTTTTTTCTGAGTGTAGTCTGGTCTATGGAGTGTCTCTCCATTCCATGTTAGTCGGGGCTGATAGGGAGTGAGAAGTCATTAACAGTGCTTGGTCTGAGCTGGTTCATTTAGGTCGCCCTTAGCTGAGTGCTTTGTCCTAGTGTTCAAATGCATGAGGATGCCCATTTGCAAGGCTGCTCTCTGCATTTTCCCGTTACCACACTTGAATTGCTCTTTCCCTAGCCCAGCATGCTAGGAGAGCATGGTGTATAGTCCACAGCAAGTCACCTTCTGTCTAGACAGGATTTTTAGCTGCAGGCCAGCACTGGCCCTCCCAGGCTAGATCTGTAGGTATCAGGGTGTTGAGCTACTGGACTAGGTTGATGCTGCTAGAAAATGTACACTGATTATTCTTCTTGCAGGCTGCTTGGCTAAAACCTTATGCTAGGAAGTCTGCCTATCTCTCCTGCAGAGGCTATTCAACTGTTTGTTGGCTGAAAAGAGTAAATGAAGCAATGTACCTGTTTTCAAACTATATATAAATGAATAAATTTAAACTAAAGAACCTGACCAAACTTGAAATAGCTGATGCAGTTTCCTGAACTTTGTCTGTGACATAAACCTTCATACTCCACCTCTAGATGATTATGAGTTGATTCTATTTTGTATTTTTTGATGATCACAAAGGACCAAGAAATACAACATAATTTAACTGGTTTTTCATCCAGTCATTTCCCCCCATGTCCAAATTCAGTTCTGCTCTGCTGGCAATTGTTGTGCTAATAATCATGTTAGCTTCTAAGCATCACCACATGCATTACAAAGTAGTACTTAATTAGCAATTTGATTTGAATTAATCAAGTTTTTTTGTTAACTCAGAAAAAGACATAAAGATTGGATTAATGTTAATTTTAATTTCCTTTTCCTTTGTGTTTAGAAATAGATTTTGTGCCACTCAGTGCATAAAAGATTTTCTTTCTTAAAACAACTGTGTATGTGCAGCAATTGTTTTGGTGTTGATTAAAGTGATGAGTATGCTCGGGTTTAAAACAGTTCGTATGCAACAAGTTATTAAGTTATTATCAGAAATAGAGTCCAGTATTTATATTAGGCTAGAATATTAAAATGTTTTTATTAAAATTAGCACTAAAATTTGTTACATTTTTATTTAAAAATGTGGATGATTGTGACTGTGCACTGCTGCATACATATGCCTTTGGAAATGAGTGTGGACTCCAAAATGTCATGAAGACTTAGCATTCCACAAATTGTTTTCTTATTCTTCCACTTTTCACTCCATTGTGACACCATTCTGTCCTGCTATTTATGTAGCAGGTACTAGAATTTATACCTGAATTTAAAAAATATTGGTGTGATAAAAAGAAAGGAAATTTTAACATTTGTACTATTTAAGTTTGAAGGATAAAGTGACAATGCAAAAATTCTTTTCAAGGTATATTTTTTAAAGAGTTGCTGAATGTTTGTTAGCGCATCAAAGCTTTTTAATAAAATTGCAGAATATAAGGGAGGAAGTGTTGTCAAAGATTATTTTATCCATTTCCAAGCTTTAGAGTTACCTGTCATTTCTGACAGGTGTTTGACCAGCCAGTCTTAAAAATGTCATGTTATTGAAACAGTTTGGGAACAGCAGAAATGCAAAAAATGTCTTTACAATCAGCAATCATATGTCTGATTGAGTCTTTTTTTTTTTTTTTCTCCATATGAAGATAACATCTGTAGTTAGTCTGATGCTTGCAGAAAATGTTGGTCTTTGAAATGGTTTATACGTTATGTACGTCTGGTTTCCAGGAGATATTAGATTGACATATGCCTGTGTGCATATGGGATGTGTAGGGTGCTTGAAATTTTCAGACCCAATCTTAAATGTCATGTAAGGGCTCTGATAGCACTGAGTCCAGAATATCCCCAAAATCTGTTTGCTGAGTGCATTCAAACCTGTTACATAGTGTATGAACATTTCTCTCTGCAGGAGCCCAGATAAATGCAATAGTTAAACACTTAATTACTGAAAATTTCCTCCCCACTGTGGAAATATGTAAAAGTTATGGTTTTCTCTTATGTTGTATCTCCCCACTACGTTTTTTTTCTTTTCTTTTTTTTATTTACTTTGAGATTAATAATAAAAATTGTGGAGACAGAGAAGGAAAGAAATGAGAATAATCAGAGGTCTACAGTTAAAAAGTAAGATTGACATCATTTTAAGTGTAGTGTTCAAAATTGGACCTAATTACTCCAACTAAGAATCTTCTTGATACCAAGTAGAAAGAATACATAAATGTTCAGAATTATTCTTTTTTTTATATAAATCCCAGTATGATGTCTACCTTTTCATAACAGCATGGTGTTGTAGCATCATTTTCTGATCCAGCAAAATCCCCATATATTTTTCTGCAGAGCTTCTGCCACCAGTCCTTCTCTAGTCTGTACATTTGTATGGTTGTTTCTCCTTGTTCAGAGAACTTTGAAATTTCCCTATTTAAACTTCATCGGTTCTTTTAGTTTTTCCAGTTTCTCGAAACTTTCTTTGACACCCACTGTCACTTTCATTGACACAACTCAGTGTATGATGTATATGCTGCAGTATGATGTATGATGTGAACATATCACAGCCCAGGCACTTTTAATAGGCCCTTTATCTGTCCATTATGCAGATTACCATTGTAATTCAGTGACAACATTGAGTGGTTTTGGAACAAGGCCAGAAAAGAGCCTGATACATTGTTCTCACTACCTATTTTCAGTTTAGCAAACACTCAAAGCAGTTACCAAGTTGAGTACAGTTTTTATGGTTAATAATTCAGCCAACTGATTGTGATTTTGTCTAGGTCACACTTCCCTAGCTTTCTTCTAAGATGTCATGGAAAACAGTGTCAAAAGCCTTGCCAAAACCCACGTATGTAACATCTACTTCTTGTTCCTAATGCACAGGAGCTGTTATCCTCTTACTGAAAAAGATATATTGGTTTAGCCTGTTTTTTACCTGCCAATTTCATGTTAGTTATTACTTATTTTATTGGTAGTTTACCAATGGAAATTGGTAGTTTGTAGTTTGTTTTTCTAATAGAAATTCAGTTGATTACCATAATGCTGTAATTGTCAATGTCTCTAATAAAGAAGATTAATTAAACACCGTAAACACCACTAGAGAGCTCTATATTTCATGAAGACAGAAAAGTTAATTCTTCTGGACAACAGTATGGCAAACCAGAGCTAAATAAAAGATCAGTATCTTTATTTTATTTCAACCTATTTTTTTTCTACTTTTTTTTCTTTCAAAAAAAATTTTAGATTCCTGTTGGAAGTCAAAACCAACAATTCAGGTTTCACTTGTCCAAAAACAAAGTATATCTCAATTTTACAGTACTGATAGTTACCAGTGAAGAGATAGACAGTGCAAGTATACAGGATATGAATGAAGACAGAAGTTTTCTTTATTGCTGGGACACAAATTTCCAGAGATGCTTTTGCTCAGTAATAAAGCATAATAAATAACATTTATTCAGTAATAAAGATTTAACAATCAATCTGATGAATGAAGAACCTGAGGCACTAGTTTATAAGGAAAATATGAAAATAAACTGTATCAACTGATGGAGTCTCCAGAGAGATATGTAAAATAATGAACTCTAGAATCAAGTGTAGGTATGAGCACAGTTCAAATTAATAAATATCAGCTTATTAATTTTTCAATATTTGGGATATTTTGAATATTCCAGTTTCATAGTTTTCAAAAGAAAAGCATCTGTCTTTCTCCTTTTCTGAAAGAAGCCTCTCTGAGACTTCAAGGCATATGAAAATGATTGTTTCAATGTGTTGGAAAACACTTTTCTCCATGATCTTCTCCCAAAATTGTATTCTTTATATGCTTATATCCTTATGTTGGTCATTTTGGTCCCTCTCCTATGGTGAGCGAAAGTGACACTGAACTTGCATCCTATCCTCTTCTGGTCAGAGTACTTTTGTTCTTCTAAATCAGCCAATATTCTACTCAAAAGGGAAAAAACAGTACATGATATTGCTTTTTAAAATTATAATTTTAAAATTATTTTCTAGGTGGGGTAAAATATATCACAGCAAATTTATTTATTATTCTCAGATTAGTAATGAAATACTATAGTTTTCTATATGCAAGTATTATGTAAAGGGACTAGATTTTTTTTATAGACAGGTTATAGCTTTACAGTTTATCTAACTTCTTTAATGCTTTATTATATGTTCCACTATATTTGAACAATTTCTATGGTAGATCTGTCAATTATTTTTAGCTTGAGGTCTATGGAATTCCATTCACAATTTCAAACAGGTTTCCTTTCTTGATGGATAGTGAGATCTGGCACCAGTTGGTATCAGCTGTCTTTTTGATATTCTTCCCTCCCTCAGCTCTGCCTAATTTACAAGTTCTTGTTAGCAATTAGCCTTTTGAGTTCAAGGTTCAATATTGAAAGGAGATTTAAGTTTGGAATGTCCATGCAGTTTGACCCTTCTCTCTCTTTGCTTTGATTCCTTTGATGTGGAGCAGGTGAAATGGCTCTCTTCAGTAACTGTGCAGTGCCTGTTCAGGGCACAGGAAATGTGTTCATGTGTAGCAGGACTGGAGTGCTCTCTTAAAGTCATTGAGAGTCATTGTTAGTGGTTTTCATGCCGTGCTACACTGCAGTCACTGCTGTTGTGGCATCTTGGACACAACCTCAGTCCAGTAATGAAGTATAAAATTACCTTTTCCCACATAAATTTAAAGAGAAAACCTCGACAAGCCATCTCTTGGCTTGTTATACATTTGGGTCTAGAAGAGAGGATGAGGAAGTAGTTGAAGCAGACCATTATGCAGACAGTGGTATGTATAGTCAATGCTCAGGGATGCAGTGAAGTTTCTGGGGAGAAAGTTTCTAGTGCATTCACTCTGCTGTGTCCTAATAAAGTCAAAATACTTTGAGGGAAAAACTTGGGAAGAATGTTGTATTAGGTACAGGACAAATTGTCTTATTCAGACTTGGTAAAAAGATAAGTATTTAGGAATGTATTATCTCCTGAAATTGCTTTAATATTAAAGATACTAATTTGTTTAATCTGATATATTTATATAATTTATCACCTGTCCTCCTTTATCATGCTTTACTTTGAAAAGATGGAGTAAAAAGAATCATTAATTTATTTACATACAACACAAATAACAGGTGAAGATTTGGAACAATAGAAGATCATAAAAAGTCTTCCTTCAAAATATGTTTAATTAAAATAGAAGCAATAGCAGGGACTGGGGATTTCTATTCATTCCAGAAAAACTATAAACATTGACAGCAACAAAGGTAGAATTTTATATGCATTAAAGAACCCTGTGCTACAAAGAAGTTGTGGTATTTAAATGTTACAAGAAAATAATTTGTATTCTGTGTTTTGATTATCTTAGCTCTGCTTTGATAATGCCAGTAGCATTTGGTCATTTCAGCCTCAGTGTATCTCTGGCATCATCTGTAATGGTTTGACATGGCTTGGTTTTAAGTAGCAGTGGGGCCACAGAGGGAGAAGCTGCTGGAAGATTCCCAGCATGTCCAGCTGAGCCAATGGTGGATGGCTCTGAAGATGGACATGCTGCTGGCCAAAACTGGGCCAGTGAGAGAGGCTGGTAACTCCTCTGTGAGGACATATTTAAGAAGAAAATCAAAACAGAGTAATGGGTTTTGTTTCTAGCCAGAGAAGAGGAGGAGAATGTGAGAACATGTGAGGGAAACCTCATGGAGACACCAAGGCCAGTGGAGAAGAAGGGGCAGGAGGTGCTCCAGGCTCAGGAGCTGAGATTCCTTTTCAGGCAGTGGTGAGACCATGATGAAGCAGCTGTGCCCCTGCAGCCCATGGGATCCATGGAGGATGCAGAGATCCACCCACAGCCCATGGGGATCCATGGGGATGCAGAGATCCACCCACAGCCCATGGAGAAGCAGGTGGATGCCTGGAGGAGGCTGTGATCCAGTGGGAGAGCCGCTGGAGAGGGAGCCCTGCTTCCAGGCTGGAGCAGCCTTTCCGTGTAGGACTGCACCCCTTAGAAGAGTGACCCATGTCACAGCAGTTTTGGGAGGACTGTGTGCCTGTGGGAGGGATTCACACTGCGGCTGGTGTGGTTTGGCTGCTGCTCGTGAGAGTTGACCCACGATGGGGAAGTTCATGGAGAAGGGCTCCTCTCCCAGAGCAGTGGAAGAAAACCTTGGGTGACAAACTGACCAAAACTCCCATGCCCTGTCTCCTTGCGCTGTTGGTGGGAAGGAGGGAGGGGCTGAGGAGGAAACAGTGTTTTAAGGGCTTGTTTCACTTCTCATTATCCTCCTCTGATCCTGTTAGTAAAAAATTTCACTTTGCAACTAAAGTTTAGCCTATTTTGCCCTTGTAATATTTCTCTTGGTCCTTTCTCACTTATGAAGCCTTGGTTAACTTCTTTTTCCTTTTCCCTCCTTTGCCCTGCTGTGGCAGGGGAGGGTGAGCCAGTGACTCTTGTGGGTGCCTGGCATTGGGCCAGTGTCAAACTACGACAACATCATATCAAATTCACTTCATATTTTATTCCTATCTTGACTGCAGGCTTTGCATTGTCCAGAACTGGACTGCTGTTTGTTCTCCGCTACCAAGGCTTGTCCCTAGGAACCTACTACCTTTGTCCAGTCTATTATTGTTCCTTTGTTCGATATTCACTTCTGCTCTGCCATTTGTTTATTTTTCTCACTTTCAGTTCTTGTTGTGAAAAACTGTCACCAAGAACAAAGTCTCATATGTAGAGGATAGAAATAATTTGTTTAGTTTAAGGGTTTGAAAGTCTTGCTCTAAATTTAGAAGCAGTAACTGAACCAGATACTATGCAGTCCTGGATTAACAGCTAAGTCTAGTTTTATGTGTGTATGCACAGGTGACGCTTCAATTTTTGGATTTTCTAGTGAGTGAAAATTGAATATGGAAATGAAGAGGAGAATATCTAACATTGCCCTTTTTTATTCTTTCTTGTCAGAAAAATGATGACAGTCTGCATATTAGCAGCAGTCGAGCAGCCAGTTGCAAAGGTGAATTTTCAGAAAATACTGACCTTCCAGTTGACAGTCTGCCCATGGAAAAGATGAGGAAAGAACATATGAAGCAATCCTGGTAGAGGATGACAGGACTATGGAGAAAGGTAAACATCAGCGAAAGAAGCATCAGGTGCTATGATGCTGGTTAGAGATGAGTTAAAAGCTTCTTTGTTTTCATTTTTATGTGCAGGTATTTTCTCTGAATTAGACAATGAGATAGGCATAGTGGACAACTCAAGCAGTTCCAGTTCAAGTAATTTGAGAGTCTGCTATTGGTAAGATTCTTCAAGAATGAAGTGTACACTACTTTCTATCAGTAAAACAGTTGTTTAGTCCAATATATTTCATTATTTGTCAAAAGTTCACAATCTGTTGTTACCTAAGTAAAGAAAATAACTGTGCCTCTGTGACAGCCATGTCCAGTTTAACACATCTGGTATCACCAGGGCTTTGTGCAGCTTCTCCTCATATTTTGCAGTAGCTGGCATGTTATTGGGCTCCTTGAGAAAGAAGGTGGTTTTAAATTTAAACATAAGATGACTAATATTGATAAGAAACAGATGGAAGAGTGTGAAAAAGAAAGTTGAAAGAGGCAAGCTTTAACTGTCTGGAAGAATTGACTGAATGGAACTGAAGGAATGTGTAGATTTTAATTAGGACAGAATTATGTGGCAAAACACAGCATTAATTCTGCTTATAGTTATTTATGGTAATCAAATTGGAATGCACCGGCTGTGTTGGGTGTTATCCTAAGTAACAGTTTTTTGGGATTATATTTCCAATTTGAAAATTAAAAAAAAAACTCAACTCAAAAAACCCTAGCTCTAATCACTCTGATTTACTTGCTAGATTGTGAGCTACCATGACCTATCTTTTAAATGCAATTGGATTCTGATTAGAGAGAATCAAAGTGCGTTTTATACTAGAGAAAAAAAAAAGAGATGGATGTTAGAGTTGAGAAAAATTCAAAATTTAAGACTTCCATTCATGAAATATGGGGATGGTTTGGAAGTACTTTTTAAAGGTAAAGGGAAAACATTTTTGCTGCAAATGTCCTAGGCTTCAAAAAATCTAGAATAACATTTTTTGTTTGTAATCCTATTTGGTAGCTGGATTTTATTTCATATTTTGGCCCAGGTACTGAAGAAATATGACCTCACTTTACTGAAATGTCCTGCCATTAGTGCAGGGCAAATAAATGATTTAGTAATTCTACTTAAAATCCATTAAAATGTTTTGCTAATTGTAGCTGGATAGCCTGTCATTCTGATGGCTGGATATTCTGTGGCTAGCCAGCCCTAAGATTATTGTCAACGTTTTCTTGAAAAATAATAATGTAAAAAAGCACTTTTTTGTGGTCACTTTCTTGTGCTAAGAGAGTAATAGGAGAAGGCTGCAGGATACAGGGAAGCCTTGAATAATTGTGGGAAGGGGCTGCATAAAATGAAGCATAGATTGAGAAAAAGCAGCTTCCAGGGACAGAGTTCTATTTTGTGTTCATACTGAAGAATAACACATTGTGTGTCTCACAGGAATGTAATTCTTTGTGGGCCAGTTCAGTATTGTGCACAGAAATTTGAAGCCTTTGTGTAATTTGTAACTTGCCACACCCAAAACATTAGTGGTAATGATTTCCTTGTAGTTAATTTTTCTTTGTTAAGATTTAGACATTAACAAAATATCAGCTTTTCCTCATATTTGAATATGACCGTGCTGTATTGCCATAGTTTTAATTAAATATTTAATGTGGAAACATCCAGTCAGTTCCTATCAATCCCAGTAACTTTAATCAGCATTTCTAGAAGTCATTATCCATTTTTCTCCTGGCATAGAGTCTAATCCTTATATAGATACCTCAGGATTGCTTTTTCAGAAAAATAGCAATTTTGCAGTCTAACATTCTTAGATCAGCTGTAGTTTCTATTTCATGTTGAAGTAAGTGTTACAGATCAGCTGTAATTAACGCTGGCAAATGTTTCTACTTTTCAGGGGTAAAGAAAAGATAGCTTTTAAAAAAATTATAAATTCAATGAATTTAAATATAAATTGGATATTGCTTGAGATATGCTCCATCCATTAGTAACAAATGGCTGAGAGAGTTTGAATTATCAGCCATGGTTTTGTCAAGCATGTCAGCATTACAGGGGAAAATGTGACCAACTTTGATCTAGCTAACTTGAAAACTGCTAACATGAAAATGAGAGTTTTAGTTTCAGGTATATTGATGAGGATCGTGAAAGGATTTGTCTAATCATGCTGTCATCACATCATTCTCAGAGAAAACATGATCATTCTAATTTAAAACTAGGGTGGTATTTTGCAAAGAAGTGTGATATGCTGAGCTGTTCAGTAGCACAGAAGCTGGTATGGATTTGTCAGTGTAATAGGGGTAAGCTTTATTTATAGTCCAATATTGTTATAATATTTTTAATGACTTTGCATACTCAGTGTTTTTCAATTATGCTGTAAGAAAAGGATTATTCTTCTTAGTATAGAATGTATAGACAATTTATTTCTACAAGACCAGCTCCTTTAACAACTCCCAAGATTGCCAAGTGCAGGGTGTGTAGATTCTGGAATAGTTGCTCCTGGTACTTGAAATGATTAATCCTGTAGGAACAAGATTCTGCACATTTCAGAAGCATAGAGGCAGCACTGACAGATGCATTTTTCTTTTCCTGAAGTCATTATAATTTCAAATTATAAAGATTGACAGAGGATAGGGACATACTGAGTCAAAAAGCTGTGAAGAATGATGGGATGGTAACAGTTTATTAGTTGCACTTAGTTTTTTCTTAGTTTAAAATTACAGGGTTCCCAACTGTACCTTAGCTGAATCATATTAAAGGGTTTTTACTTGCATTTGGTTTACAGTGTAACCATATCTTCACTTCTCTTGGTAAAACCAAATAGTAGGAAAATCTGTGATATTTCTTAATGCATAGTAGTCCAGTAGAGCTGGTGTGTCAGTTGAGTGAGAGTTGAAAAATTTACTTTTTGTCTGGGAATGCTCTTTTGGACAATATTTTTTGTTTCCCTTTATCATGTTCATTTACATCACAATCAAAAAGTGTCCTAAATACATTGGAAAACAATTCTGTGTAAAACATACTATTAGAAAACCCTGGTCTAAGGGGTTTATGTACTTCTAACCTTCTTCCCAGTATAGAGGTAGCATGCAATAGATTCTTTTCAGAATTGCTCCGCCTTTTCAAGAGATTAATAAATCTCAAAACACAGTCCTGTTGTACTGCTGTATCTTGTTTAAAAATTTTTCTCTTACCTCATAATTTCATTTATGTTTCCACTATTTGGAGGAATCTCTGCACTTGTGTATCTTGTGACCAATAAGCAAAGACATTGATTTTCAGGATTCCTTTCCTGAATTTCTGCAACCCAGTAGTATTCAAAGTTACCATGTAAGGAAAATAGCACAGATCTGCCTGAACAATATTCTAGTGATGTAACTCTAAAAGGGTCTCCTATATCTTTCTTTGAGAAATGCAACTGTTTTACACGGTGCCAGGACTTGAGTTTTGTGCAGGTAATGCTCATATCCAGTTGAATAATTGGGGATTTCTAGAACTAGGATACTCTCAAAATAGGAACTCCGTATTTAGTATGTAGCAAGTGATTTGGCTCATCACTTAGGTTATGAGTTTAGGTCATCACTTAGCTCCAAATTTAACTACTTTTGAGCATAACAAGCACATTATGAAATAAACCCCTGTTCAGTAATGTCATTTGTTTTCTGGAGCCTATAATTTGGACTACATTACAGGCAGCTACCTTATATCTTGAAAGGTCTGTGGTCACAGAGATGAGCCTTTTTTTTTATTTAATTCAGACCAATTGTATTTTATGGATTTGGTGCCTTGAGAAGACATTTCTTCTTTAGATAAGATGACTAGAGAGTTTGGTAAGTTTTTGGAATTAGATTGTCTGACATCTGCTATATATGGTTTTCTGGTTTCAGATTGTGAGGAGAAAGTTTAGGGAATATCTTGAAAATTATTATTGTGTCAACAAACGTATCATTTTCACAATGTGGTGTTTGTGAAGAACTTTGAAGACCCTAGTGTTTTGTAGGCTTGTTTTCCTGATTTGTCAAACATTCAGATTTCTCTTGAGACCCCTGGCTAGTGGGATTTTGTTGAAGACATCAGCCAAGACCTGGTTTTCCTGTATGATGCCTGAATTAAGTTTGAAATATGTCAACTTCTGTTGCTGTACATGGAATCACTGGTGGCAAGGAAAAAAACGTAGTTGTTTGCTCTGCAAAACAGCTTAATTAACCTGATTGGGGTTGTCCATTCCGGTGAACAGTGATTTGAAGGGCAGCTTACTAACAGTATTTTGAATAAATAAAGGTAATTTCACCTTTCTCCTGAAAAGATTGTTGAGCTGTCATTCAAAAAACCACTCCCTTTGCTTCCATTTCATTCAAGGAGATGTACTGAAGTTCTCTGCTAGTACAGAGTCTTGATTTAATTTTCCTGCCAGCCTGTTCAAACTTGGGAATGTTTTCAGAGGTTTTGTTTTCAGATACCACTGAAGTGAAAGTTAAAGCCAAAGCAGTAGTTGCTGTCTTCTCAGGTTTTTCTGATCTCATATTATGTAACCAACTCTTTCCTTGCAATTGCCTGTTCAGGTGCTTGCAAGAGCAGAACACTAAACTTCATATTAAATGTATTTGTATGATTTTTACTGATGTTGATGCATATTAAGAAGTTAAAGTCCTAGAAGTTGCTCTAATGACATCAGCTGCTAAAGACTAAAGTAACAGAGAAATTATTTATGCCTCATTTAATAAATTTTTTTATATCCTCAAGGAATCTGCATACATCTATTCAGAACAGGGGGGCTGATGAGGATTAAAAGCTTTGCCTTTTGTGTGTCTTTCACCTTCTAACCAGAGTGGGCACAAAACAGGAAAGAGATGGAGGATTTGTATCTAATTTTCCTTGAGATCGTCTTGAACTGAAAAATGCCCTCTTGCAAGGCATTTGAACAAAACATATTGCCTTGCTCTTCCCATCCATGTCAAAGAAGTAACCATGGTAAAGGAAATGTGGTCTAGGTAACCCTGAAATGAACATGAGGATACACCATGTGCTCCATGACTTATGTGAGTTAACTTGCCTACACATTTGTGCTGTTTCTTCCTCACTGTCTGGCTTTGTATGACTAGCATAACTAGAGATTATGAATAAAGTCATTAGTGTTCCTTGAGTGTGTGGGTACAGATGAGTGTGTTTGTTACAATGATTTTTACATGTTTGAGTCTCCTTGTGTTTGTTATTAAGTAAATTATTTTCCTGTGTTTTCATAGTGAGTAATTTAATGAGATTCCCTTCTCAGATCTAGCTGCTCAGTGGGTCTCTAGCATAATAATAAGCAATAAAAATAGGCCTGAAGGGTGTTTGCTATTGTTATGTGATGTTCTGCATCATGATTTCGTTGGGGTTTTGGTTTTTAGCATTAATAAGTATTTTCCTAACTTTAGCATATGAATCAGAAAATATTGTATCTCTGCTGTGTACAGTGAGTGGTGAGACAGACTCTTTGGTGTGAAATATCATGCACTTGTAAATACACTCATAAGACAGCAGATTAGCAAGTCAAATGTGGTGAGACATCAAACTAACTGATCAAGCAAATTTGGATATGAGCACTTTACTGATAAGAGACCATTTATTTGAAACAGCCAAAGGGTGCCCAATTTTATATATGAATACTTGAAAAGGGGGGTTGTTTTTTATAAAATTCTAGCAAACAGCTGTGTTCACACTTAGCTTTCTTGCCAAGTGGCTTTTGTTACAGATTTTCTTGCATATATTCACATAATGTATTATGGTATTGGTTGTGACAGTGTCTGAGTTTGTAACTCAAAATCCTTACCTCAATCAGCATGACTCACGTTCACTCAGAGCTTCTGCTTCTGCATTTATGTTATTGTGTCTGTGTCCTAAGCAGGTAAAATCTCTGTTCCTTGAATAGGCACA